TCGATGAATCCGTGGTTCCGATTATAACGACTTTGAACGTATCATATTTCTATGAGCGATGTGAAGTTTTGTTCATTAAGAAAAAAATACAAATATTGCTTCTGGAGATGATGATGATTATGTCAGATGTTAATCGGAATACAATACACAAGACGCGAAAAAACCGAAAAAAATCCAAAACGAATATCGCAATATGAAATGTAACACGCGCTTAAGAAGCGCTCAAAATATTGAAGGCAACAACAAAAAAACAACTCGTATGCATTCACAAAAAAGTGCAGCTAATACACACATCGTAGCACACAAAATAACATCTACTAGCAAGAGTAAATGTAGGTTAAGCTAAGTTCGAAGTTAAACGCATCAACAATACTCGAACATTTGAATAACAAAAGATATTCGTTATTTCGTTGTTTTGCTCATCTATGTAACGCTCATCTCTCAATAGAGCCATCTTTAACAGATGCAGTGCACCTGTGTGTGAGCACACTCAATCGAACAAGTGAACGATCAAGCGGCATTCGCGAATGTGTTAATGGGCCGATAATAGCCACAACGACAACTTATAAACAAAAGAAAAGAAATTACTCCATCGAAAATTGACGCTTCGTATCGAACGACAATTAGTGGCTTTTCGATAAAAGTGAACAACTGGTTTTTAATTTTGAAACACCTAACGATAAATCAAAATAGATTCGACGTTTAAAGTGCATTCTTAAAATGTTTGTAATTTTTAAGTAAACGTTTGGTAGTAAAAACGATTCAGATTATCAGTTTTTTTCTTGTCAGATTCTGTTCAACAAATAAAGACAAGATAATATGCGAAAAAGGGGGCGCTTATCCCAGAATGTCGTATATAACCTTCAGCTATGTTAATTAGGAAGCTTCAAAACGAGCTACATATGTTTCAAAAATCCATTGCACTGTGTGGTTGCATTCAATTTTATTGCTGATCATATCAATAAATTTGTGTCAAATCCATGGAAACGCTTGCTACACCGGTTTTATTATTTGAGTGTCATCAGAGACAACAGCCATACTTTAGGCCAAGATCGCAAAAGAAAAAGTCGGGGTTTTCTATTCATTGCCGAAAGAGGAATAGTTTATATTCAATGAATAATGCAGTTAACTACTAAAATATAAAATGAACGGCAATTAATAAATTGTTCAAAGGATATAATTTGTTCTTTTCCGTTTGCCATACCGTTAAGACATGTTTTCATAATTGTAAAATCGAAAGTGTGTGATTGTCAGCAATGCATTGACCACGGAGCTGTAGTGAAAAAAAACCTTCCTCTTTACTTAGCAGAAAATCGTAGAGAAAAACACGTGAAAAAACACAAAGAGCGATTGTTTTCGTTGAGTGTTGTTTTTTTTTTTTGTTTTTTTTTTTGGTTTAATACTCGTGCTATTGGCCTTCAATCACTATGCGATTCTTTTGAACAATTAATTACTTTTACAGAGATGATGATGGCGATGAACCATTAAGCTACCGTGTGATCAACATCATTCGTCACCATGGTATTCTATCAAACTAATGGCCAATGTGTACTTGACTGGCAGCGACGAAAATATCACCAACGGCGGTCCTTCTGTAGGGTCAGAGATGATCTTGTCACAAAGTGCCCATAATATTTTTTTTTTCTTCTTAGTTTTATCTACATGGACCTCAATGAGCCTAGAAAACTACTAATTAAGCTAATTATCGACGATGTAAAAAAAAACAAAATGCAAAAGAATAGAATTTAAAATGTTGATGAATGGACAAGAAACAACCGTTAAAATCAAGGCTGAGAAATCTGCAGCTAATATATTCACATACAAATTTAACGCATTTGGATTTCTCTTAAGACACTGCCACGAAATATTAGTCACGAAAATATATATAAGTCTGAACCATATTTGATTGCTGAATGAAATCTTCGGAGTTTTTTTTGGCGATGAGATAGAAATTAATCGGCATTAAAATCGATACATACGTACATTTAGTAGTAGTCACGTTGTTCATGAATTTTTTTTTCGGCGAAGGTGAAAGAGAAATGATTGCACGGGTGCAGAAGTACGATAATGTCGAATGATTTCCAAGTCACAACTTCCGAACTGCGTACGCTTGGGATTGAAAGACGCGTAATCATTGGCCATTCAACAACGAAACCGAAAAAAAATGTTTCATTCATTTTGTTTATCGGGCCAATGTTTCCGTGGCCGAATACAATACACATGCAGCATGGCCAAATGCATGTAAGTAAATCCCTCGCAAGCTTTATCCGTGATAGATACACACAGCCATTGTAAAACAATAGTTTCGCCTCGATGAATTTAACCTACATAAAACTCCATATGAATGAACCTCACACAAAAAACATACTCTACTGACCACTTAAGACACTCTGAAAACACTGGCAACACATTGCACAAACTAAAAACCTAGGAAAAATTACACTAAAAAAACAAAATCCGCCACACACAAATAAGTAAAAGACGAAAGAAAGAAAATAATGAACGAAAAAAAAAACACACACACACCGTGTATGCGATGAATGAACGAAAGAAAAAGAAATAAACGTAAAATGTAGTCCACGGATGCATGATTAATTGTGTTAAGGAAATATGTGCTCATGCGCTGAAAAGACGTGAAGATGGTTTACAAGACGAGATACAGGCGCATTGAAAGCGAAATAATCTCGCATGGAAAATGCTGTGCAGCGGCAAGTACACGCAGAATAAATAGATTCGCAGATTTGATTTGTTTACACAATTATTTTCTTTGCATTCAATTTCCAAGAGCTCACGTGTTAGCAGCATACACATTCGTTGAACGATCATTCTATTATCTCTCGCGCTTGGCATTTTTTTAGGGCGTAATATGCATATTTTTCAGAATGGTCTTGGACTCTATTGAATTATGGTCACAGTCGCATGCGAATGCCTTCAGTATTCAAAGTGAGGAGGAAAAAAAGATTACGTATTTTAATTGTGTGAGCATATATCAGTCGTTGTGTTTTCAACGGTGGTTGTTTCTTGTTGTTGTTGTCATCGTCTTTTTAATAAATGCGAAATTGAATTGTCAGTCATTTCGGTAGAATAACTGTCGTTTTCATACCGTTTAAGTAGCTGCCAAATTCGATATTGCTCAAAATTAATATGATAAGCGAGACTGTTGGTAATCAATGGCTTTAACACTTTCATCATTTTCGTGAGCAGTTGCGCACATCTTCCAACTCCATTCAATCCAACGAAATTTATTTTGGTTCGCATTTCGTTTAAAATTCACTTTCTTCCGAAAAAAAAGAAATAACGATAATAATGAGAAGCGCGGTCAAGCGCTCCATTCGCACAGGAAATCAACGAAATATACTATCTCCGAACCAATTTTTTCGTTTGTTTGTTTGTTTGCGCGTTTTGTGTGTGTGTGTGTGTGTACTCAAACCGCCAATCGATTAGTCAAATCGATTTAGTTCGCATGAAATCACAACACAATACATTTCTTTCGGGTCAATTAAAAATTATAACCACATTGGCGTGCACACTTCACAAATCACAACAAAATGTTCAAAACTGATCAAACACATGTCACGGATCTTGAAATAAATCTATTGAAAAACTTCGTGCAGGTTATTTGATTTTACTGTCGCTCGCTCGATATTTTATTTGGCGATAGTTTCGGTTACTCGATTTTACGACATCATTCTCGTTTTCTTTCACATTCATGCTCTTCGCATCTTTAACAATACACACACTTCACTCCGCAAAATGAACCAACCGAACACAGTCCAACGAAAGAGAAAATATATGCTAAGTGATAATGTACTTTAACAGATGGAATATTATCCGTCATCTCATCCATCGAAATAACGAATTGAGAAAAAGAGAGGCTGCATCGTGACGTTACGGTTCGATCTCGCACTAAATTGCTTGAAATGGAACTGAGACTTGGTGAAATTAATGCCAAATTGATAGGTTTTTTTTTCAATCGAATTGAGGTGCGCGATATCACTAAAAACATTCACGACACAGAGCCAACCAAAAAGAAACCCTGATGCATATTTTGCTAGGTAAACCAAAGGAATTATGAAGGTTGATTGAATCAATGCTACGCAAGCGAAAGATTCAAACGAAACGAGCGAACAAGACGAGATAGAATGGCATTTTGTTGGCCAACGGACCGAACACTATGGATTGATAAAACACTGCAAAAATAGAAGTCATTTTGGAAACAACTTTGATAAATCAAGTTGATAGAGAGATAGAGTGAATAAGAACTCTCATGATTTTCGCGGTAAAATCAAAAGCCGATAAAAATCGAATGAAATAACACACAAATAACTCGAGATACACACATCATCGTCGAAGCAACTTTCAGTGTGGCAAAAATTGTGAACGTTTGAGGTGATCGCTCATCGAAATTGCCGCTTGCAGACCATAATAATGACAGACAAATAGCAAAATTTACAGTTTGATCGTTTTTTGTTGTGGTTGTTGCATTCGAGCTAATGAACGGATAGTTCTGTTGAATTATGACAAAACATTGTAATGACTTAAATTCACGTTTAAGTCGATATTTTTTGCTTCAAAGTTTTTAGAAGATATTTTTTGTTCCATTTAAATTTTAAAATGGTAAATTTAGATTTACAGAACAATCTAGAGTTGGAACTAACAAAAATCTTCATACACAAAAATTGATATTCATTGCATTGCATTGCATTTTGAGTTTTTGCAACATGGATTTTCATTATTTTTCATCAAAATTCTTTTTTATGACTTTTTGATCCATCGAATTTGAAATCATTTCATACATTTCTCCGATTTCTTTTACAATGCGATTTGATCAAAAGAAGAAAAAAAATATATCAATTGAATGCATTTTTTGCCTATTGTCTTCGGTTCCCAGTTGTCTGGGTGATGGTGAGCGAAACAATGAATTCGAGAATCGTAATGATTTTCAATCATAATTATGAAAATGCCTTGCAATCTTGATATGATTAAATGAGTAATTTTACCTCCGGTTTAGCTGAATTCGTGTCTTCAGAGCTATAACTGTATGCACACAATTTGCGTTGAACAAATTTTTTTTTCTCTGTTTTTACTGCACACTGTATTTCAGTGTAGCGTCGTTTGGTTTTTATTCTGTCGTCGTCCTCTGACTGCTTTGCGATGTAATGATGAAAATTATTCACAAAAAATGTTCATTTCGCAACAACAACAATTAAAATAAAAACCGTCGAAAAATTGATTTATTAATTCGTTTGTTGTTTTCGATTGTTTTGATTTTTCCCTCTTGGGTAGAAAAACCAAATCGATTTGAGAGAATGCAATACAAAGAATTAGGAAGTGGCGCGTGATTGCAGCACAAATTTTACTCTTTTTTCCGGTTGATCACTTTTCTGCTTGGACTGGCAATTCACTATACAATATTAAAATTTGAAACGCACACTCACACACTGCACTTGAAAAGGGCTTCTTTTTTTCGCTCTCTCTCTCTCTCTCTCTCTCTCTCTCTCTCTCTCTCGATCTGTTTCGTTCGAATAATTTAATTTTGCACATTCACTACAAAAATGTTCGGCACAATTTTTGTCTGAATATCAAAAGTTCGATTTTGGCTTTAGTTCAATGAATAGACCATTTGCACTTGCTTTCTTTAAGCTGCGTATGTCCGATTAAATTTTGCTTTTACCAACAATTTTATTCTTATAAATTCATGAAATTGTCAATATTTATTATAGAAATCTATTCAAATGTATGGACAAAGTGTAGTGGCAGCGAGCAAGGTCAATCAACGATCAATAAAAAACAAATTCGTTTTTTTTTTTTCAATTTAAATATAACACAACAATCTACGATTTTTATCAACTGGGTGCAAGAACAACTTGATTGATTTTGTTAACAAATTTTTTTTTTCTCTTAAATAAAAATTAACACAGAAACAAAAAAAAAATATGTGAAAAGAATGATTCTTCTTTGCTTATAAAAGCACGTAGAATTCGTACATTTTTCCGTTCGTTTTACATGAGCTACGGTAAAATTATGTTATGGATTTCTGTTAAGCGGCTTGCCGTCGAAAGTGAAAACGGCTAACAACGTGTGCGAGTTTGAAAATCCGACTGAACAGTTGTATCAAAAAATGACAATAACCAAGTGTAAATACGAGACGATTTTTTCGTACGCTTGATGTGTGCTCTGAGTATGTTTTGGTTTGCTGTGCTATGCTATGTTGTGTATGTGTTTTCGAACTCCCTTCGGCTACCGCTGTCTGACTGCTACATTTTCTACTCACTTTTGCACAGGCCCAGCTATGTCGTGCAACGGTAAAGTCGACAGCGTGCGACAGAGATGCAAACCATTCCCAATACAATACATACAAATACACGCAGGCCAAAACAGACGATAAAGAAGCGAAGCACACGGTATTTGCAATGTTCGTGTTTTGGTCTGAATGCCGCTATGCTGCGATGGTGGTTCAGTGCTTGTGTGCGTGATAAAATCGTCGCTCTCTTGATCCCACTCTCAATCAGTTGTGCTGTGCTACGGTTTTCGTGTGTTCGATGCAGTGCACGATTGACTGTTGCTTGTTTTCAGTATGGTTTTCTTAGACATGCGGCTCACTGCTCTCACACCGCTATGTTCGTCGTTCGTTTGTTTCGCAATATCTGTTGCTTTGCCTCAGCACACATGAGCTTCAAGCGGTGACAATATATCGATTTTCGTCATATTCAAATGCTTAATCGACGTCATCGTTTCGGTTCTTTTGCATTATTCCGCATTCGGCAGAATATCCATTGACGCTAGCGTGCTTATCCATCCTCTTCTGGATTTATGTGGAATTTTTTTTTATTGCTTTGTCAACCGTTGTACATGTACATAATTTGTTTGGCCAATCCCCAATTGTTCAAAGAGCACGCTCCTAATAAAATGTCGCAAAATAAGCCACAATCTATGCTGCATCACAAAACAAGCACCTTTTCAAAACGGTATATGGCAATTGAAACATAAAATGTTGTTTTGTGACGACAATTCGCGCAACATTCTAATGACGGAGCATTCTTACGTTCTCATCGTTCATCACCGAAACAAGCAATAAATCTGTGGATAATAACGGTGTTTTTGCGGTCATAAAGCATATTCTAATCGTTTTAATTTTTTATTCTATTCATCGTCGATGGTTGTGCTTTGCTTTGCTATTGACATACATTAACCAAGAATGTGAGAGAATGCGTCTTTTTATGACCGCTTCGCAGTCCTTATCGTAACAATAATCGCATCATCATTATTGTCGGAGCGATTTCAATCGGGACGATCAATTCGCCGAACGGTAATTCAAATTCGTCGTCATATCCACGAATAATGACTCACACAGCTCGGGCTCCTGTTTCTGCTTCTGCTTCTGTTTGTAAATGCAAAGTAATAAAACGATTTGAGCAGGTTTTTTTATTCGAATACATACGAATTATGTGAGTGTCAATCGATGAAAATTCCGCTGAATTCCACATTACATTGTGTGTATGGTTAATCGTCTTAGAATATTGACGACAGCCAAAAGTTACGTGATGCACTGTATTTCGTGCGAAGAATCAGATATTACGGAGAACGTGCCACTTGCGGTTGAATCATTGACGCCAGCGGATGACGTTTGCGTGCAAAATACGCAAACTAACGTTTGTATAAAAATTGTATGAAAAAAAAACACACAGATTTGGGTGATTTTTTCCTTGGGCCAATTTTACGATTTTTAATTGATCGCTTTCGAAGTATTCTTAATTAATCCCATTTCCGGATGATTTCGCAAAATTCGATTTGTCAGCATTTCATGGAGGATACGACTTTCAATGGGGCGAGAGCGCGCACAGTTCCAACGATACAAATTTATACGAAATCTGTTTTCCCGATTTAATTTATTCGTGAAAAAAATACATTGACACACAACTTGAATTATCGGTGCGAGTCAGCGGCCGTAAAATTCGTCACATTCGATATGTGATTTTGGTCACACAATCAGAGAGTGACGTCGTCAATAAAGAGTTTAAAATTTTTTTTATTGACAACGACTAAATTTTTCGCTGTGTGTTCCGTTGAAATGTAGGTCATGCCTTCAATAAGTATGAAGCGAGAAACAGTACAAGCACATGAATGTACTATGCATGGACGGGAGATCGGTGTGCTTTTACATTCATATCGAATGAACGAAAATCGCGTTGAGCCAGAATGCATACATACACCGGATTCAATGCAGCCGAATTTGCAGAGCGATCTCTTTTGCGAGACAGAGACAGACAGACAGACAGAGATAGAGAGAGAGAGAGAGAGAGAGAGAGAGAGAGAGGGAGAATAAACGCGCGAACACCGATCATGGGACCCAGAAGAAAGGTAATACACCAGAAACGAAATACCCGTATTGTTTGGATGTAGTACAGAACGCCACAATGTAATTATCACACATGTGTTACACACATCATATTTTTATGCAACATTCGTTTCAAGCCATATTATTCAATTCGGAATCGGAATTTCGAGAAATGACCAAATAACCAAGCAAAATTAAATGTGTACGAGAAAGATGAAGAGAAAGAGAAAGCGAGAAAAAGATGAGAAAAGAAAAAATGCAAACATACACATTTTATTTTCACGATCAATACAGCAAGCGAAAGTGTTACGATACGATTTCAAGATCAACATAGACTCTCGAAAAACAAACAAACACGTGACACTTTGCGTCATTCATCTTAATTTTCTGCAGTGGTTGTTGTTGTTGTTGGAAAATAATTGAAAAATTTTCTTTTTTCACGCATTTCATTAATGAATAAATTGCGTATTTTCAATTATCGTGATTATCATTACTGCTATTTTCCTTTGCTGACGCGTTAAGCATTTCTCCGAACGCAACGCAGAGATTAACATGAAATGAGCAACCTTGAAAACATTGACTCAACAACTGATGAGTGAAACTGAAAACCATTTAATATTTTGTTTTTGTTTGCTTTTCGGTTTGTTGAGCTCTCTCGAAATGCAATGATAAACATCTTTGTGATCAATGGCAAGCCACCAAATGAATTGAACTCGAGTGTCAATTTCACCAGTGCTCTCAGGACCAATGCACACAAGATTTGTTTTTTCTAATATGGTATTTAATTGTGTTTGGATCTCATTGGTGGCAACTGCATACAGCAACTTCAATGGAAATTTGGTTCGAAAAACGAAGAGAAAAAAAAAAAATAGAACAAAACAGTTTTTTTTCTCTTCGTTTTTCGAACCAAATTTCCGTTGAAGTTGCTGTACGCAGTTGCCACCAATGAGATCAAAACATAAATAATTACCATATTCAAATAAAAGCCCATAACAGATTGAGACTTATTTGAAATTCAATAATCATTTCAGTGTTGCCTTCGCCAACTTCTTCAAATATCACATCATCGGCCAAACAAAACTTGACCAGCTCAAAATGCAACCGAAAACAAAATCGATGTATCGAGATTGTAACAACGGTTTTCGTTTCGATTAGATCTAATCGCATCGATAAATATCCAATGGAAGAATTCCAATATATTCAGTGCGCTTCTATGTGAAAAAAATCTAAAGTCCTCCAAATTTCGTTACTTCTTCGTTGGTTTGAATTCAACGGTCGATGACAGGCATCTGTTTTGCTCAAAGTTGTCAAAAAATTACATAAAAATTCGGCAAATTGTTCATTGTTCTGTACTTAGACTTTGATATATAATTTCATTCCGTGGTGGCCATTCATGCTGTGTTCGGTGTTTAATTAGAGGAAGATAAAATCCTTGAGCTTCAAACAGCGCCGCGGAATTTGAGCAGTTATTTTCGAAGCGTCAAAAATTGTTGTAGCCAGAATCGAATGTGATTTGTTTTCGATTTTTTTATGTGAAATTTATTGAATTTTTCGTTGTGCACGGCGAGGCGACTAATGTAACTTATTGTCCAAATGACTATAAAGGTCGTTAAAAAGAAAATCGATCGAAAAGGTAAACTGGCGCCGAAAATAACAAACAGCCAAACGGCAATGATGAAGATAGGTGGAGAGGTTAGAAGACTGAAATCAACTAAATCCGTGAAACATGTAATTCCGACTCGAATAACACAACAAGTCAAGAGATGAAAACGAGAGAAAAAAAATTCACACACACACATGAGCACAGAGAGGCGAAATTGAAGCTCGTTCATATTTAACCTTTTTCTTTCAGAGGCTGAAAATAATATCGGCCGATGCTACCGTATCCCTGTTCCTAAACAGAGATGTATATTTTTTTTTGCGCAAACGCAACCAATTTTGATGTAAATTACGTACAAACACACATTGTTTTGCCTCAAGATTTGTTTGATTTAAGCAATTTGGCGCAGAAACCATTTACTCTGGTCTATTTGTTGGTGATTTCGTTTTTGATGCACACTACAAAATTGAGTCAGATTGAACATCGTCTTCCACGCACGAATGGTCAAGTCGCACGCAATGCTCGTTCATAAGCTGATGTAAACAACATCAAACGTTAATAAATAATTTCAATGTCTACTTTCAAGCGAGAGAGAGAGAGAGAGAGAGAGAGAGAGAGAGGAAGATGGGCTACCGTTGCTGTTGCTTTTCGCGTTTGCAGTACCAAAATCATATAATTTTCACACCCATCTCTTATTACGTTATAATTGTGACAATTAAATCCAACTGTATTTCCCATCAAACTCCATTGCGACCAACCCATATCCATTCGACGCTATGGTGTTTCGTTACGTTTTGCTTGAATTGGATAAAATTGTCTATTCCCCTTTTTAACGAAATCGACTCACGATGGCATTCTTCTGATCAAACTCATAAACCAACTATGAATCGGTGGATCAATATTGAGAACAAGGTATAAATGGAAGCCATCACCATCATCATCGTCTTAACGACCGTGCATTATGAGCAGGCAAACGATCATCAACTAAAATATTAACATCTGAAAATATGCCCATGATTTTTTTTCCACTATTTTTGACTATTGCCATCTTGGCTTCTGCCTCAATTTGACCGTCATCGCAGATTAATATTCAGTGACGAATTTCAAATGACAAATCAAATATCAACAACAAAGTTATCGATCAGATAAATTACCTGAGATAAAAATGGATCAGAAATTCTGAAAAAAATCTCAATCTCGGAACAAAAAAAAAATAACAACAACAACAATACGGTGACGATTAGTTTGGCTTTTTCCGTGAAAACAGGTGTAAATTGTGAAAAGTGATAAGTGAATTTTTCGGCATAATCGCTGAGCAAT